ATTTTCTATTCTCTAAACTCTATTTCTCCAAAATCTCTATATTCTCTAAGACCTCTAGATTATAGGTTTTATAGATTTTCAGAACTTTCTAGCTGCTGTAAGCATTACAGTGTTTAGATTCTAGACAATTTAAATTATCTAGGTTGTTTATAGTTTCTAGACACTAAACTCTGTAACATTTGAGACTCTATAGGTTTTGTAGGTTTTCTAGATACCCTAGACTGTCTATAATCAGGAGCCCCTCTAAACTTTGTAGATAAACTTACTAAGATGTCTAGATTCTCTAGATTTTTTAAGGTTCCTGGATTCTCTATGCTCTGAAGGCTGCCTAAATTTCACAGATTCTCTAAATTCTCTCTAGCTTTTCCGATTTCTGATTGCCTAGAGTGTCTACTTTCTCTCGAGTCTTTCTGTAATCCTAGAATCTCTAGGCTCCAGGTTTGCTAGATTTTATAGAGTTTTGGATTCTCTAGCTTTCTAAGATCTCTAAAATGTTGAAACTATAGATAATTAAATTACCTAGAATCTACAGACTGTGTATCGTTTCTATACACATATATTTCAGGCTCTCTAAATTCTATGTTTTGTAGGGACTCTAGATAGACAATCTAGATTGACTACAATCATTAGGCCCTCTAGATTCTGTACATTCATTGGACCTATACACTCTAGGGGTTCTAGGCATTAAACTAAGTTGTCTAGATTGTGTAAACTGTAAACTTGATAAAATTTCTACTTTCTCTAATTTCTATACAGGGTGTTTCTTTTATTTGATACAACCCCTGTAACTTTTTTATTCTTGAAGATAAACCCGTAGTTCTTTAACCAAATTTGTATCTTTCTCAAAGATTTATATGATGGTAAGCACACATTTTTATTATCACTGGCGGTAGAACCGGAAATGACGTCAACTTATTTTTTTTTAATGGAACACTAGGTATATTTTTTCATAAATGGAAATATTGATTTTTTCACTACAAAAAATCACAAGCAACCAATATTCTAAAATCAATAATAAAAAAGTTATTTAGTAAAATATCTCCAAAATTTTCCGTTTATTTCAAAATCTAGTTGCTTGAAAAACAATTGAAAAATTGTTGTCATCACTAGATCTTTTAAAATGATACAAATTTGCTCAAAGAACTACAGATTTATCTTTAAAAATAAAAAATTTACAGGGGTTGTATCAAATAAAAGAAACACCCGGTATACTCTGAAGGCTCGCTCTAGACTTGTTAGATTTTAGAAATTTTCTAGTCTCTACATACTCTGTGGATATTTCAGGCCCTTAATGCCTTGAAGAGTTTCTAGATACCCTAGACTATCCTCTGGACTCTATATTTTCTAGGGTTTATAGGTGTCTAGATTCTCTAGAATTTCTAAATTACCGAGGCGATTTAAATTATGTAGATACTTTCTAGATATTTCGTGCTCCCGTATACATGGTGGAAAATTTCATTTTTGAAAAAGTCGTCCAAAAATTTTGAAAAATTCAGGGTTATACCGGGTGTTTGGAACATGACGGATTAACTCTTCAGTAAGTTATGTACGGGCATTTCGCAGTGACTGAAATCCACCTTTTATTTTTTTTAGGACAATAACCATAACAACCAGTAGTCATTATTTTTGACCATTTGTTTAAAAGTTAGTCATGAGTACTTTCAAAGATAAAACTGATTTTGGCAATGACGTACCCTCTAAGAAAAGAGAGGGTGGGTGGGCGGGGCTAATATCTGCTAAGAAAGACTGATTTTGGCAAATGACATACCCTCTAACAAAAGAGAGGGTGGGTGGGCGGGACTAGTACCCGCTAAGATAAGACTGATATTGGCAAATGACCTACTCTCTAAGAAAATGAAGGGTAGAGGGTATATCATTTGCCAAAATCAATATTTTCTTTTCAGGTGCTAGCCCCACCCACCCACCTCTAATTTCTTAGAGAGTACGTCATTTGCCACAATCAGTCTTATCTTAGCAAATACTAGCCCCGCCCACCCGCCCTTTCTTTTCTTGGAGACTACGTCATCTGCCAAAATCAGTCGTATCGTGTAGCAAGAAAATAAAATTTGAGATTCCGAGTGACTATCAATGTTTGTGATTTTTTTGTCAGATTGGCAACATATTTAATATTTTACAGAACGTTTCATCTTAGATATACTGCGCCTTTTTGAGTTTTTTGTTAGGATAAACTGCTGGAAATAGAAACACGTGTATAATTTAATAAAATAACATTGTTTTCAACCGGTTTTAAATATACAATATATTTACGACATACATAAAAACTTAATGATTTATTTAATTAATTAATTTGCTACCTGGCGTTGACAAAATTGCTAAATTTGATTGCTTTTTTGCATTTTTATTGTTTATTTGAAAATTGTTGCTGTAAAAATTCTTTTTATTGTGATTTTTCATTGACATTTCTAAATCTAAAACCCTGTTTAGAGAACATTTGATTGCGATTAAATTTTTTAATACGGCGTTAAAGTACCACGTGACCGACTCTACGCCAATCAGACGTCGCTAAACCCCCCGTTAAATGCGTGATTAACTTAATCTCAGTTAAAATATTGTATAATCTGGCCCTAAAGACTACGTTTCTGTCAATTTTAACTGGAAATGTTTAAAAAAACATCGGATTTAAGGTAAGATAAATTCAGCTTTTTAGAGAAATTATGAAATTTGATTTTGCGAATTCAATTTTTTTTTATAATAACTCTTATAAGTGAAAATAAAGATTTGCTATGTGTATATTTCAAGTGAGTTTTTCCATTAAAAAATTTTGTAGAAATAAACATGTTGATAATTTCTGAAATTAGGGTTTTATTCTGCTTCAGAAAATGTCAAAAAATCTGGGTGTTCCATAAAAAAAAGTAGGCGACCCTGTCTGTCAAACCAAGAGCGATAAAAAAAAGAAAAAACGTTGTAATCAAGTCGCCATGTTTAACTATATATCCAAAGCAAATTTCGGAAAAAAATACTTTTCAAATAACATAAGTTTTCGACCGTTCCTGGACTATATACTACATGTATTTCCAATTTCCTGGAAAATGGAGTAAACGTTCTTTATTTGGTCAATAGAAAAAATGCCATCATTAATATTTTTTTGAGTCACCCTGTATAAGCACTTAGTATATTACAGTATTTTGCAATTTTAGATAAATTTATTCGGCGAAATTTTGAGATGATTTCATCAATTTGGGGAGGAGGATAAACGGATAAATTTTGCGAGTTGCCATGCTTACGATAACCTTAAAATGTTTGCACAATTTCAGAGTATTCGGTGTTGTAGTTTCAAAGTTATATTGTGAAAAGTTTTTATAAAATTTGTTTTTTTTTTTTTCAAAAATCGAATGTGTTGGGTAAAAATCAAGATGGATTCATAAACCACAAGTATAGGAGTATGTTATTTTAAAAAATTTGCATCAAAACGAGTAGATAAATTTTGGTCAACGTTTTACTATTTACACGACACTCTTAATAAACACAAAATTTGACGATAATCAGTCCAGTAATTTTGGTGATTATCTGTCCAATAAAAATCGATACAGACGACAGTCAGACGGAAACGTGAAACAAATTTTTTATGTTCTATTTGTCATGAAACATGGAGAAAACATGAGCGTAGCTATTAGGCACAATAATTCAGGCAAATAATTTTATTGCTCTTACAGAATCGACCAAAAATATATGACAAGCTTTCCAGAATTTGTAGAATTCGTACTACAAATGACGTTTTCTTTTTTTTTTTTTTTTTTAATAACAACTTCGAATTACAACACAGAGATTCAGTTTCGGTTGGAAAAACTAGTTTCGGTCGGGCATTGCTATACATTATTCTGACAAAATTATAGAAATTAAAATAACATATATCTGACATTTTGGAATGACAACTGGCGATGAAATATGCCTAAATTTTATATTGTAATGCATTAATTATTTTGGTAACACCAACGCGTTCAGTTTTTGACAATTACGGTCAAATAACTTCAGATAAAGTGTCAGCAATGTTAACATAACAACCTTAAAAATAAATTCCATGGCTTACTAGACGACTTTTTTCGATGCTACAATATTTTGATAATAAAGACGTACAACATTCTCACGATTTTTTGTTCCTTTCGTAAATAATCATTCCAGACATAGTTTCCTTTCTTCATCATCTGAAGCACTATTATTAAGGATAATTGTTAACAGGAGATGGCGCAGGCGTTTCCGGAAAAAAGACTGATCGGCGCAGTTGGAATGCACCGAAAATCCAATTCGTTGTAAAATTTAGAACCCAAAAAAACAGATTGACTTTAAAAAGCCTGGATATTTACAATACTTATGTAAGTATATATATATAATAAGTTTTAGTCATACACCCTGTACATTGAATTTGTCACGTACACGAATAGGTAGGTGCAGGGTTAATAGTGGTTTAAGGTTTCCACTTGAAAAATGATTAAAAACGTAATGACTCACTGGACAAATACTGAGTGAGTGTTCATCAAACCTCTACACGAATCCAGAAAGTTCGATATCTTGAACTATAACCAAAATATTGCATATGAAAAAAAGCACCGAAAGTACACACTTCCTGTGACAAACACCAATTGTACACTCTTTATTATCTGATAAAAAAACCAGATAGCGAAGTCTGTATTTTGGTCAAACTGCGCCTTATGCAAAAAATTCGATCTCCGTTCCCCGAAGAGCCGAGTCAGAGGAATCCACCGGCGATGAGTGATCTTCCGGAAACTCCGATTTCGCACCAATTTCGAGCACTCCTGTCTTTTATCGAACAGCCAGTCGCAAGCGGCTGCAGCGCTGGTGCCTCGAGCCAAGTGGTCCTCATTGTTCATCTCTGCCTTCGGTCAATGACGGACGCGACTTTCCCACGATAAAGCCCGTAATTGTGCGTCCGCATCGATTGCGCGTCCGCCGAAGAAAGCAGTAAAAAGTAAACAAAACCTCGCTCTCGAAGGGATGTTCGGCTTTAGGGCGTTGCGACTTACCGACTTGGAGGACGCTGTCCACGCAGCCGGTCTCCAGGAGCTTTAATCCCTTGCAGAAGGACAAGTTCTGCGGCTCGCCGCCGCCGGCGGCGGCGGCGTTCACCGGGGGCACTCGCGACAGCGAACTGTACATGCATATGTCGCGCTCGTTCCGCGGGAACGACCAGAAGATGATCCTGCGCTGCACCGGCTCGGGGATGCGGTCGTAGCGCTCCTCGATGCGCTGGAAGGGGATGTTCTCGGCGACGATCTTGGCCGTGATGTCCAGCAGCGAGTCGGGGGAGCGCCGCCCCGGCTCCCGCAGCAAGGGCCCCCCGCCGGCGGCCTGGGAGCAGCACAACCGCCTGGCCACCGCCATCGACGACACACTCTCACTGACTGACGAGAGGATGGAGGCGGGCGCGGCGCAGGCGCACGGCCCCCCGAACGCACAGCTGATTTGACCCCCGCGTGCGTAATGTCGTTTGTTTATGTTGGCCACATGGCGCAAGGTGCAGGGGGCGCCAGCGGGGGCCGCACGGGCGGGCAGGGGCAGGGGCGGGGGCGCGCTGACCTGTTGAAAAAATGCGGGGGGAATCGCACGCAGGAACGCAACGGTGCATCGCAGGTGATTGATACACCGAGTGATCTAGTTTTAATGCAGCTAATTCACAGAGACGCCAATGAAATTAACGTCACAAAAAAAATACGTCACGATGTATCAGATAATTTCTGGCTTACTCAGAAAATACATAGTTGTCCGTAAATAATATAAAAGAAATCCATAAAAAATTCGAGTGTGAATGAACGAAAATGATTTTTTTAAAGAACTTAGAGAAGGCGTTGGAATTTCATTTGACACAAACGGCATGTCTGTTCTTATTGCATCCATTTAGCAGAAACCACAGAAACATAACCTGTTATATGCTATATGTTATAAGAACAGACATGCCGTTTGTGTCAAATGATATTCCAATACCTACTCTGAGTGATTTTTCAAAATAGGTATTCTGTATTTTCTTTCGTCTTCAGCCTATGCACGAGTAATTAACAAAATAAAAGGAATTTTTTGTTAAACGTAAGACAACTTTAGTGTCAGATAAACAAACAAGTAATATGAGGTTTTTATAAAAACTCATTTTTTCGTGAGGTCATCAACTTTTTAAAGGTGATAAATGGATAAATTTTGATTAGCATATTAAACAGTTGGTTTTATAAAAACGTGACATAAACTTATGTTTTGATACACAGGGTGGCATCTTCAGAGCTAAAGTTTTAAGAACCACATTTTCAAGTGCCCTTAAATTTTAAAATTAAATTCCTTGAAAGCGGTCCGTTTGACAATCTACCTGTTCACGTATTGAAACAAATACGGTCCTGGAAAGGTAAGGGTGGTGAGTAATCTTGATTGCCAGTTTTATGCTGGGTGCACTTTCCAAAGTGGTCGAAAATTTTACAGCTGCAATTCCCACAATTATCTTTCGTCGTACTTTACATTCAGTATCGGATTGAGGCCGTCGGGGTCCACCCAGAAATTTACAAAGTTTTTTTAAATTATGTTGTTTTTGGAATTTTTATGACTCTACAAGGAAAAAAAAGCTAGAAAAAAATTGTAGAAGGTTATTTTGGCAGAACTTTCCTCGCCTTTGAAGTATGATCCGCTTCTATAAAAAATTACAAAATTAGATTGTGCGATTTTCCCCGCAACCCCTACGTCTTTAAATATGAAATATATTTAAATGAAGCAGATAACTAACGGGAAAAATGTAAACAATTTCAATTTCTCAATATATGCTTAACTTCGACTGTTTATGTTTATAAATCGACCGAATTCGACTGCTAGCACAATCATTAGCGATTAAAAGAAAATAAAATTTGCATAGGAAAGGACTGCTTGATTAATTCATACTCAGTTTTCTTCCCAAAAACACTCATAAATTTGAAGAAATTCGGCAAAAATGTAAGATGATCGACAATTTTTGACTAACGATTTACCAAGTTTCAAATAATCTTAAAATATTTGCACGATTTCACAGCATTTGGTTTTTGCAGTTTCAAAGTTACATTGTTAAATATTGTTAAACAGTGTTGATTTTTTTTCCAAAAATCTGGATGTTAAAGGTAAAAACTCAACACGGATTCATAAACCACACAAGCAGGAATATGTTTTATAAACATATGTATTTATAAAATTTAAAGAACATTTGTTCGGCAGAATCAGAGAACATAGAGAAGCGACATAGAGGCTGATTTTGCAAAACTACCCTTATTGACATTGGAGTCCTCAACCGCCAAAGGCAAGCGCCAAATTTAAATAGTCGATACCAATAAAAACCATGGTTCACTATAATTGTAATTCGTGTGACTTGAATGAAAATGAAGGAAACAGTAAGCAGCTTGTAAGATTCTGGTAAATCTAGTGTCAATTTGTCGAAAGTAAAACGCGTCGTTAAAAATATTGTGACATTTCTTCTAGTTAATTTTATTCCTAGTTAGAAGCAAACACTGCTGCCAACATAAATTGCGGAGTCCTCAACCGTCATTTAATTTAAACTATGGCGCTTCTCTATGTTCTCTGGCAGAATTCTAAGATGACGTCATAATTTTTTGGTAAGGCTTTAAACGAACAATTTTGATTAACGATTTATCATATTTCCTATAACCCTAAAACGTTTGCATAAAATACAATTTTGAATTTTTTCCCAAAAATCTCGATCTCTACATGGAGTACATATGTATGTAGTTCTATAAAATTTAAGAAACATTTGTTCTACAAAATTATAAAATGACGCCATCATTTTTTAGGAGAACAAAAACGAAACAATTTTGATTAACGATTGATTTACTATGCTAGTGTTAGTAAAATGTAATTCGGTTTTACAATTTCAAAGTTAAGTTGCGAAATGTTACATAGTTTTGATTTTTTCCCCAAAAATCTGGATGTCTAGGGTCAAAATTCGAGACGGATTCATGAATCACACATGTATGCAATCCTATAAAATTAAATATAACACCAAAAAAATAAATGTCCCAGAGTTAGAGGTTTCTCTATGGGTCCGCTGGAATAATGGTCAAAATCTTTAGAAATCCACAACTTTTCAAAAAATAACCTTAAAAATGACAACAAAAATAGACTTTTTTATTTTATAAAAATGCAATAAAAAACTTCAACCTCAAAATTGGCCAGTTTGCTTAAAAACATGATAAAATATCTTAAAATAGATGAAAAAGCAGGTAAAAAAAGCTTAAATAGATGAAAAAAATTACTTTCTATTAATTTTAATCATTCAGATGAGAATTGGATCTGAAAGAGGAGTAATAAACAATGCTTTTGGAATTACCAAAAATTATATTTGGTAAATACTTGTGAATTAAATCGGCAAAATTGTAAAATCATTATTGCTTTAGAGGGGCATAAACGAAGAGAATTTGATTAACGATTTACTATGCTTACAATAACCTAAAACGTTTCCAAAATTTCAAAGCAGTTTCAAAGTTAAATTGCAAGATGTCGGAATTTTGATTTTTTCTCCAAAAATCTGGATGTCTAGGATAAAAATTATTAAAAATTCAACCTGGGTGCATAAACCACATGTGTAGGAGTATCTTATTTTATAAATTTAAATAATATTTACTACTGTAAATTTTTGAGATGACGTCAACAAATTGTTGGTAGGGATGATTAGCCAAATTTTGATCATCTACACGTTAGTCGTAATACACATATAAAATTTAACAACTGATCCAGTAGTTTCGGAGATTATCTGTCTAATAAAAATCAGGACAGACGGCAGACAGACAGACGGAATGTTTGTTGTAACTTTGTCTTAAGTTTTTGCTGTTGTCTTACCAATATTGTGAAATATTAGAAACATTTTAAGGTCATTGTAAACACAGCAGACCGCTAATCAAAATTTATCTATTTATCACCTTCAAAAAGTTGATGACGTCATCTCAATTTTTCTAAGTAAATCCTGTCTAAATGTAGAAAATATTATGAGTCTTCGCTTGTAATTTATTAATATACCCATATTTATTAGAATTGGTTATACAGGGATGTTCCAAAAATCAATAACTGAAGCAATTCATTTTATTGGTTGTGTCAAAATTTTATAAATATTAAAACGAAAATGACTGCAATGTTTGATGGCGTTTAGGGTTGTTGTACTATAGTAATACAACGAGTACGCTTGTCTGGTTCCCAGGGTCGGATTAGGTCGCCACGCCCGGTATAACGGGATTAGTACAACTTGTAAACAATATCAGGTTCGTTTAAATGTGCTTATATAAATCTGTCGAGTCCGGTACTGATCTCTTCGTAGGTAAAGAGGCTTGTCCTTATACAAACTTTTATTGGGGTTTGTGGTTAGTCATGCGGTGAAGGATCTTAAAAGTTAATATATAAAATTACAGTAATTTTGCTAATTTCTGGTCGTTCTGTACTCTTAGTTAGTCTTGTCATTATCCATATGTTTCAACAATAATTCTCGATTTCTTTTCAGAAGTTCTGGGTCACCAGTCGGATTTTTATTGTTGTACTCTTCTTAAACAGCAATTTACCAAGCATTACCAAGAAGATTAGCGCAGTTATCTAAAGTACCTATTTAAACTGCAATGTACACATCAATTTTATCCTTGAAATGAAAATTTGGAGTCGGAAAATTTTCATGTAAAAAGAACTTCATTGAGACAAGAATTTAATGACTGTTATGAAATCAAGACATTCCTGTAACATTTATTCAAGAAACAATTAACCTTGACCATTTACAAACTTGGTACTGTCCTTCAAACACCAGAATAAGTTCATATATTCCACTACCTTGCCATTTAATCAGTTGAAAGATGTGACAGGCTAAAAACTATAACAACAAAAGCGGCATTAAAATATGGTGCTTTTGGTAGAAACTAACGCTGTAGGAACTTTGGGGTCAGGAAAGGAAACAACCACTTTAGCCCATTACCAAAACCAAACAAATAACCCCCTAAAGAAACGAAATTTTCCCCGTGTATAAACACCATCATTTGGGTAATAATCGCATATTATAGTGCAGAGTCGGATGGCAACTGTTTCAGTTTTTCGAAATGTCTCTAATATATGCTAATTATAATTTTTTTAGCATAAAACACGAAAGTATGGGAATACAAACGAAGTCCCACAATCCTTTATTAACTAGTAACGTAAGAAGCATTATTCATTCTTATAATCCTACTAAGAATTTTTATAGTTTTACTGTTTCCAAAGGTTCGTGGTATTTTATATACCAATTGACCTATCACACCTTCTAGATAATCTCATGCATTAAAATAAATTATGAGAGGGGATATTTATAGAATACACTGCGCATTAAAAACAAGTAAGTCATTATATAAATAAAAATTTGATTTATATCTGAATCTGTTTAAATACATTTTGAAATGTGTACTCGTGTTGTCTTGGATATTTTTTAACGAGATAACTATCTCTTGTTTGTAATCTGTGTGCTAGTTTAACGCAACGTTTTATTGGTAATCTTACTACGATCAGACGTTTTTGTCTGCTCCTTGACACTAGTGTACTGAACTATGAGCCACAGCAAAATCGAAAATTAAAATAAAATCCGCCATTTTCCGCTGCGGCATTTCTTGTTTTAGTTTGTGAAAAACTTCCCACAATTTTCCATACGAAATCTATAATTAATTTTACAACGCTGCAATAACTTGTGAAATTATAAAACCAAAAATTAAAACGTCAGCAATAAAGAAATCATTTTGACTCCTCCTGTCCTGGCGCTCGTAAAACTACAGTTAGTGCGAGTCGCAAGAAGAGCCTGCTTATCACTTCTCGAGCGAATCGGCATGGCCGCCGTCTCCACTGTTTTCCAGGTCGGTAATCGGTGGCGGCGGCGGTGGCGGCAGCAGTCGTGGCCAATAGTGGAAGTCGCGTAATTGCGTCCGCCCGCATTGATTGGCGATACTTGCATGAGAATGACATCGGCAGAGCAGAGGCAAGCCGGGAACCAAGATCAATATTCGACGATGGCTGCCAAGATACACGCCGAATTATGCAAACCGTGTTTAATAGTTAATCAATGAACACAATCGCCCCGCCGCCACCGTCACCTCTGTCGAACAACGACCTAACCCCGTGCGGCTCACCCACAGCTTTTTGAGGGAAGGGTGCAGATATTTGGCTAATTTAAAGTGCTGTTGACGGCTACACCTCGTTTGATTTCATGGGATGACATTAGGCTAATTTTACTGTACAGGATGCAGCGGAAATATTTGAACTGCAAAACTTAGATCAGCGATGTGGAATAGGTTCACGAATTTGAAATTTACGAACGTCAGCTTATCAGCTTAAACCAAGAGAACAGAGAACAGTTTACAGTATAAAAACTATTTCTTTAATGATAGTAAGACACTAAAACTGATTTAATATGCATAGAACATTGTATTCATCCCCTTAGAAAGTTAATGACGTCATCTCAAAAGGCTGTTTTAGTGATATATTTAAATATTTTAGAATTGTTTATACAGGGTGGTTCCAAAAAAGTGACTGAAGCGCCTTATTTTATAATTATGATATATTAAACAATATATTCCAGTCGTTTCCCGTAAAATAATCGAATCAAGTAATAACGATTATTCAAAATAACAGCCTGCTAATTAGCTAGCAAGAGGAAGTAGAAATTAAACTGAACAAAACAACACCGAAGAAAAACACCGTTGCAAGACCAATAAACTTTATTGATTAAATACGAGTACAAAACTAGCGGATATAGGTATTTACAGCCATTAAAACGAAATGAAATACACCACTTCTTCCTGGTAATACGGTGATGACAATGTGTCCGTTTAAATTTAAATGAGCTCAACAGACAAGCCTGTAGGAAATGTAACGTCCGGCGGTTTCCGATGGCCGAATGATTTTAACCACCTGCAACAACACAAGAACAAACAGTATAATTTATCTGCATTACAACCCGCATGCTACGCCGCTATTTCACATGGAAACACGCCCGATAAAAACGTTAATAAGGCGCCGGTTGGTGGCTAGAGGTGTTTAAGTGTCACCTATTCATGAAGCTCATTAATTTAAATATTCTAGCAGCCGATCATAATTCAAATGTGTTTTAAGTGAAAGTAAAAAAATATCTTGTGTAAGTGGATAAGGTGCAATTACACCATTTCCGATCCGAGACGACTATTACACTTGAATTATCCCACTACAGTAAATGCTTGTCAAAATTGTATACAGTGTAATTGCTCCTTAAGGTTTCAAAAGTACAAAGTAAGGACGTGGCGCACTAATAAAGTTTCAAGACGGCAATAAAATTTTACACGCTATAAAATACGATCAATTTCGACTTTGTTATGAACTTGTAATAAAATATTTAGGGGTTAAAACCGGAGGAAATTAAAGAAGTGACAGGTTCGACATTAATGACACTTATCTAAGAGTACATAAGGACGAAAATTGCATGCCGTGCAGACGTAAGGTAGAAACGAAAAAAGTTTACCAATTTTTTAATGAAATTACACTGACCTGACCACGCTTCAGTCCAAAATATCTTGCCACAGGATCTCCAGCCTGAATCCTCATCAACATATTCTCCTTTAGTTTACTATAAAAACATATTTAAAATCAGCATTTGAGATTAAAACTAAAAAATAGACTGAAAACTCACTATCTGGTTAGCAATTCTTGTTTCTCTTCAGGCGTCATCACCACGTGTTCCGGGACCAGCTCGTGCTCTGTAATGTTAATCAAAAGTTCTGACTCCAAAAACTGCTCTAAAATATATTTGGGAGCCATGTCAACAAGGGACTGTTTAGCTGAAGGGGTCATTCCCTGCTGCACCACAATAATAGCCCGATGTATATTCTCATCTTGCATCCTCTGACAATACGTTTTTATTGTTTTAATACCAATTTTCGGTTCGTCCGGGAAAAAAACGAACATCTGGTCTGTAGGATCATCGTTGTGTGCCACCAGAATTGTTAAATCGCTCCGTGATGGTCTTTTCTCGCTGGGTTTGTCGCCACATTGTTCCTTAAATTGCTCTAACGTCTGGTCCAATTCATCCTGTGTGACTAGGTAGCCACGATCGTGGCACAGCTGAAATTGAGTAAATTATAGAACCGCACTTTTTAAAGTGAGGTTATGTCACAAACCTGCATGACCGTTTTACGAATTCGCCACAGTTTGTAAGTTTCCGCTTCATCATCCATATTTTCTTAAAATTTGATTCAAAATAAACGAAAAACTAAACAATATTGTTGCAAATATCAAACTAGTTTCGTAAACAAGTTACAGCACGCACAATGTCACTTGTCATATTGCAGTAGTGTCAACATGACAGCCCCGAACATACCCTGCCGTCGATTTTGGCGGTCGGTTCAATTTTCCCCAAAAATTTCAGTAATGTCATAGAATTATGGACTTACTTCAAGGCAAATGTCTGTTAAACAAAATAAAGAAACTCATCCCCGCAGAAGACGCCATGCGAAACAAAACAATTATTATATTTTTCTTTGGGGCCATGTGGTGTAAATCTCCTGATTGTAAAGTAATACTTCAGAAGTTGAAGGAGCTGCACAAGGTAGGTACGTAAGTAAAACCCGACATTTGCTTGATTTGTACACTATTTCTGAATTAGGAGAACCTCCGCCGAAACATGGGTTTAGAAGTAATTTACGTTTCGTCTGATACGAGTTTAGAGGATTTTGACACGTTTTATAAAACACACGGGGGATGGTTTGCTGTACCTTTTCAGGACGACTTAGCAGAGTTAGTAGTGAGGTATAGCCTGAACACACGTAAAGTAAGCTTTTCCAGACAGCTCCGTAGAGTCTTTGGTATTACTAACGTTCCCAACCTTATCGTGGTTAAGAAAAATGGGGAAATTATAACGAAAGCGGGAAGGCAAGAAATTGTTGAAAAGGGTCTCAATGTGTTAGTAACCTGGACGGATTAACACTAATAAAGTACTTATGAGTCAGATTTATTGTATAAAATTTACTCTTCAGGTATTTCTACACTGCCATCATTAACTTCATCTATAACGTCATGCGGGAGCTTCCCGTCGATCGTGCACCCAACAGACTGAGCAGTCCCTAAAATTTCTTTCACAGTTCCTGCCAAGTTTTTCGCCATGGAACGAGGTCTCATCTGTCTTGCAATACTAATCACATCATCCAAAGTGATGTTGCCGCTGTGTTTAACTACAAAACGATCGCTTTAGCACATAGTAGACAACAAAAACGCACTGTAAGCCCCACTGAGTAACACACTTAGTATTTCGTAAGTGTGGGTTGCAAATAGGAGCTGATAATTTAGCACTGTGATTGTAACAACAAACCAACTGATTTATCGTTCAAAACAAAACAATGCAACGTTAAAATGACTGAAAAACACTTACTGTTCTTTTGCTTCTTTCGGTCCCGTGGGGGTTCCTTCAAGGCTTTAATGATCAGCGAAGCCGCTGAAGGTACAACCGAAATTTGAGCTTGTCGGTTCTGGATTTTAAGTTGCACCGTTATTTTAAGCCCTTTCCAGTCGGCCGTGCTTTTTGCGATATCGTCACCGATCTTCTTGGGAGACTACAACACGTTGGAATTTGAGGTTATGTTATTAATTGGTGATGTTTTTGTGCTTACCAGACCTAGGGGACCGATTTTGGGGGCTAAAGAGGCAGTCGCACCTACTTCTCCACCAACACACCTGAGATAAACTGAAATTTGATTCAAGATTAAGCCACAATGTAGAAAATTATTTTAGGTAAATTACACACATACCGAATTTAATCTCGTTGGGATCGAATTTTGGAGGCATATTTTATTCTATTGTAACTAGTTATTATTAAAAATGTGGCTCCTTGCGGCCGATGATCTTAGATTTTGTTAAAATAACAAAACAAACCACCTTCACTCCGACGGTGACGGTTCAGAAAGGAAGTGTATTAGGTCACGTCAACCCGTCAACGTCAACTGAGAAAGTTGCTTAAAAATTACAATTAGTTGAAACGTTCAAATGAAATGTTTTATAAATGAATACAAATAATTCGCTTCAAATGTGTTAGGTACGAAAAAATTAAAAATTGTTTTCAAACTATGTTGTAAAATTGCACCGTAGACACTTCCTCTTTGACGTATGAAGTTGACAGCTAGTATTTCAACGTTGACACTTGACATCAAAAGAGACTTTCGACTCTTCCTTAAATAAGTTGTTAAAACTTAAAATTCACGATTAATCAGCTATGACAGTGCCAGTTAGATAGTAAAGTGGTCACTGACATGAATTCAACACAAGTCATGTTAAAAAACTCCCAAGGGGGCTTCCATTGCAGCAAAGACTCCCTAACGGACGTCTTCGGTTGGTTTCTCCAGGTCCTCCTCGCCTGCTTGGCCTTCACGTGTCTCATAGGTAAGCCCCGCGTCTAACTCACCCCATTTCTGACTAAAATTCACAGCTAAGAGGTTCTGTGAACCCAGGGCGGAGCGTCGATCATGGTTGATCTGGTTCTATGATACGTCGAAACAGGGAATGGGGGCCATGGCGATTCACTTGGCCAACGTATGGCTCGCGGGACAATACATGGGCGACCCTTGCACCTGGTACTTGATTAACTTTCTCCTGGATTCGTCCATGGGGCTGCTCATTATTTTCACAGGCATACGTTTTTGTCAGTATTTGTCGCGAAAAAAGGGTTGGGACGCGATTAATTTCGGCGAGTACGGAAAACCGCCGTCCGCTAACGCTTGGTTAGCACAGTGCTGCTTGTACGTGGGGCTCATGGCTATTGTTAAAGTATCAATAACGTTGTTCATGCAGCTTGATTTCTGGGACGGAGTTAAAAACTTCATTTTGTCCCCAATCAATAATCCTAAGATTGAACTAGCATTCGTTATGCTCATCATTCCGTTCTTTGTTAATGTAAGTTGTAAACAATGCGATTACGTTGTGTACATTTACTTTGTTGTAGATGTTGATGTTTTGGGTTACTGATAATTTCCTGATGCATAAGAGTCGCACCAGTAGGCGTCTGCGTCGGGATAGCGTTGAAGATAGTTTGTTGACTCGAACTAAAGTTAAATATCGCACAATTAAGAAGAAAGCGAGGAGGCGCGATTCTGAAAGTGACATTCTGCTTTCAGGTGATGATGAGTTGTTGGATTCTGAATCAACTCCAATTAATAGACACGTAATGGCGTGAAGATCTGTACAGAGACTGGTTAAAATAATTTAAGACTGCTTAATACAAATCTGAATAACCAAGTGCCTTAAGGCAACGATACTTGTGCCAAATTATTTTAATCAGTCGTTTCAAGTGGCTGTAATATTTTTTTCTCTGTGTATACTGTTGGCGCGCACGTGACGTCATCTGTACTTTATCTGTTTCCAAAGTGATTGAAATAATATGTTGTATGAGATTTTTTCTGATGTATGAGTATCTGCAAGATTGGTATGATAAGATTGTAAGTGTGCAACGAAATCTTCAGCTCTATTTTTATTTGTATGTATCAGTTTTGTTGGCTTTATTAAATTTGGTTACCATAAGATTAGTGATATTTTTTTATGATGCTGGTAGCTGACACTGAAGCATCTTTGTACTGACTTTGAGATTTAACGTATCACTTTGTTAGGGCTGATTTATTTAAGTACTAGTACTAACATTCCGTATTTTTACTTTTGATTATCTGATTGGTTACGTTACCAAATCTAGGCCAAATATTTTAGAATTAAGCATTTTCATGTACAGAAAACGGATTGAAATAAAGTGATTTATTTTGTTATAAAAGCGTTTTCTTACTAACTTAACTACGCTCTAAAATGTGTCCGGCATTGGGGGTTCTTCAGAAGCCAGGTAAGTTCATTTGAAAATAGAAACCACAAATGTACGAATTTCTTCTTTATTTATTTATTTTGTTTGAAAACAAAAACGGAAGTTTCATTGTTACAAAAAGTGTTGTTATTTTATTTATCTATGTACTTAGAGGTCATCTTAAATATTATCCTTACGTTATAAATATATACTTTATTTACATACAATACACGTTTCCACTTTATTAAAATTATTTGGCTTTTAATTTGTGTCAGACTATAGTGACATGTCCACTGTACATCAACTGAAATTACACATTATGTATACAAAAACGTTTTATGGGAATTCCAACCATACTTCTGCGCCTTATTTGCAGTAGAGAGCATTTTAATGGATTCCAAGTATTTATTATTAGCTATTTATGTATTTTGAAAACACGTGGCAACACCGCAAAATTGACAAGTCACTTCATTGGTACCAACATCAATTAACAATGGTGGAATCATTTTATATTGGAAATATTTTGAAATATACAAAAATTGCACTTTGGTTGGGTATTAATGTTTACGTGGACACACCTCGCACAGAAAAAATACTCCGCTCGCGACTTGTTTTGTGCACATGGCTGCAACTTTAATAACTTATAATACAACAATAAATAGCCACATGTACAAAATAAATTACGCAGACCGACTAAAACTTCAATAATTAACTCTTGTACAGAGCGATCAAGTAGGCCTGAGTTTGCCGCTTAGTCTAAAAACGAGCTGCACTATAAATGTGCCGCTTTTACTACACCCACTCAGGTCTAAATGATCCCTCTGTATAAAAAATAAAAGCTACGCCTGAAGGTACTTAAAACGATCGCCCATCCGACCACTGTCATCACTTGGGCTGGTTGTTGTAGTCCACATAGACTCTAACAACCTCCCCCGAATACTTCCTTTGCGATGGCATAAAATAAAAGTCGGGTTGCATATCGGGTACTGATCTCTGCCTATCGTACGTCGTCCTAGGTAGCGAAAACGTACTCCGTTCCAGATTCCCAGGGTATGCACCTCTAGGTCTCTGCAGCGACCGCGTGTCGCCCATGAATCCGCCCGTGGAATTGTGCGGCGGGACGCTGGGAGGTCGTCCCTGGGGCCGCTGGATGCGGTTGTTGCTCTTAGGAGGAGGCAGCGTGTCGCTGCGGCTTTTTCCATTCGCTTGTTGCTTCTTCTCTTCGGCTTCGAAGGCGTCGAATGCGTAATTCGTGTTGGCTGCGGAGTAGTCTTTCCATGCCGAGTTGGGGATGAGGTGGTCCTGGAAGCGAGAGTTTAAATAGATGGTAATGGTGGGTCGTGTGATTGGTAAACCGCAACCGATAGCCCTCTGTGCTTAAGGTGCAAATACAAAGCGTGCTGTCACACCACCAAATGACAAATGTCAGACTCACCCCACCAGGCACCGAGCTACCAGTGCCTAGAGCGATCGATGGTGGCCACAGCCCAGTGGGGGATTGTGTCGCGACCTTGGTATGAACCCTGGTAATATATGGGGTCGAGCTGCACACTGTACACCCTCTACCAACAAGCACAGGTAATATTATTGCAGTTGCACCTTTCCTAGAGTCAGTCGGTTACTGCGAGGAAAAATCGAACGCGGTCATTTATACCACCATGTTGCTCGCCCCGCCCACTTTCCCTCTCTCTGCGAAAACGAAAAGTTGGAGTCTAGACGATGTTCCACCCAACGTTTTAGTGCATTCAAGCAACAAATGACAATCTCGCAAGCTTTTTCCCGTAATCCGACTGACCCTATTTTATTAACTAAAGCAACATTTAAGTGTTTTTGTTAAATTCGTAATTCACACATCCTTGAAGGTCTGATGCTCATTCCCAAGAACCTCACTTCCCAAGTAATCCGTAACCGAATTACTTGGAAAACGACCTAAAACCCTTCCTAATTAAAAGCACTATAAGCATTAGACAACAAAAATGTTATGAACCTACTTGACCTCTGTGAAGATCTCACAGTGATGTTACCTTATGACTCGACGAGCTTTTGCTGGCCGCTTTGTATATTGTACAACTAGCTTGAACTATAGCGACTAGAATCAGAGCTGCTATGCAGCCTAAAACACTATATAGTTTAGCCTCGGATAAATTGAAGAAACCGTCTTTTTCGTCAGATGCGGTGTTCTGTACTATATTTGAAGTTACTGCAAACGAAAAATCAGAAATCGTTGGTTTGAAGTCTGTCGCACTTACAACTTAATGGTTCGAATACCAGGGAACCGGGATCCACTTTGAGGTTACCCACTTTCCCGGAACGTACGCTTTCCTGGAGGATCTCGTGCACCTCCCGGTTGGAATCGACTTCGTCTGACAAAGAGCGGCCCTTCTCGGCGGTGGCTTTGTCCACTTGGAGATTCATATTAGCCACTAAGTCGTTCCCGTCCCTAAAACGCCAAATTAAAGTAATAATCGTAGTTAAAGATGCGCACGCACTCTTTCAGATCATCAATCAATATTCGTCGAAAGCCTGGGATCTTGACGAAAATGGGTTTAAAATTGTCGCTGATGGAATTGGACAAGTCGTCGTACTGCAGACTTCCATGTTCCGGCACCACGAAGTTATCACCCAGGTCGATAATTTTCACCGCGACATTGTAAGCCAAACCTGGAGGTTCCGTGGTGGTTGCAACATCGCCTTCCTCTACAAAACTTGTAAATCAAAAAAGGTCTTCGACTAATTTGAATTAGTACCGCTGCCACAAGACTTGATACAAATTCTTTCGGGAGTGATCACTGGAGTCACCTCATGCTTTCTGATTTTTTTATTAACGCTGTTGAATATTCCTCCTTTTACTGGAAACATCATAAATAGACAGTGATCGTCCGTAAACGACAGGTCTTTAGGGTCGTTCGAAATTCGCTTCCGCGTGAAAGACAACGTGGTGATTCCGTCGACTATCCGTCCCGCGGTGTTATAAATCCCCTGGGAACTATCAAGGAACGGTTGAGTGTATCCGGTGATCCACGTGTCCATCAAGAAGGGTCTTCCGGTTTTGTCCACCCACCCGAGTATAGCATCGGTTTGACTCTACAACCCCTAGTGTTAAAACATTAAAGACCCTTTCCACCACGTACCATTTTTTCATCGTTCGAAAAGGCAATCCCTGTCCATAAATCCGTATGACTCGTGGTAATGACAAACCGAATTTCGTCTTTCCGTGGCACGTCCCACTTCACGCTGTACTCACAAGTACCATTAAATGGGTCACAGTTGCGAGGGTACCGCCATTCCCCACCACACTCCGACGCATCCCCTTTTTGAGTGTCATTCATGGTCACGTTTCCTTCTTTAACTGACACGAACACCCCAGTCGCGGATTTCTTCTTCTCGTCTAGAAATCACCCGTTCGCACAAATTGGAGTCTTCAGACGTATCGCTTACCAAAGAAATTGATGCTGGTGGCACCACGCTGTGATCTGTGCCCATGGTACTTCAGCTCGTCGGGTTTGTAGAAGTCTTTGACGGACGCTTTGGCTGTTTCGACCCCGGATTTAGGCACGTGGACGTATTTACCTGGTTCTTGCCCTTGCGCAAAAATAACATGCATTAGATCTTCTTCTATGGTATGGTCTGAAGGTTCCGTGGCCTTCAGTTTTTTCCGGAAAAGAATGGTCGTGACGCCGTCTTTTTCAAAACCCATGGCGGCTGTTAGGTCGTTTTTGCCACCCCAGAAGGTGTCCATGCGCGGAGTGGACCTGTCACGGGTGTAGTAGTCCGCGATTCTACTGGCAGTTCCTCGGGCGGACCCGATGATGATGTCGGTACAGTCCATCGGGTTGAAATCGTGCCGAGGGGTGTATGGATTGAGCGATTCTGAGTTACGTAGCGCAAAACATTAATACCTTGTTGTTTGTTATTACTTTGATTTGGATTTTTTTTGTTTAGTCAAAAACAACTACAGGATGCGTGTGGTCTTGTGTGTTAAACTAAAGTCTAAGATTATCAAACTGTTAAACATTTCTGTTTTGACAATACAATAAAAAAGTTCAAAGTGCGATTACCTTGCTTTCCAGTGGGTGCTACCTCGAGATTTGAGTGCGTTTTTACTGGTTCTGGATGCGGTTCGGGTTCGGCTTGGGGTTCTGGTTCTGATTTGGGTTCGGGTTCTGGTTCTGATTTGGGCTCGGGTTCTGGTTCTGATTTGGGTTCAGGTTCAGGTTCTGATTTAGGTTCAGGTTCCGGTTCGGATTTGGGTTCCGCTTTAGGTTCGGGTTCTGGTTCCGTCTTAGGTTCAGCAGTGGGTTCGGTGGACGGTTCAGACTCAGAATTAGTAGTGAGTGCTTCTGCCGACGCCTCAACTTCCGGTTCCGCTACGGGTTCTACAAGGAAATATAGACCAACCACCATTAAGTGCCAATCTAACGCGATACAGTGAACATAAATAAAAACTGAACTCACCGGAGACTTGTCGACGATTTCGTCCTGTAATGCCTCAAACTAATCAACTAATTCATCTAAACTAAGCCCTTGCTTACCTTGCTTCTTGCTAACCTGGAACGACACGCTGGTTTCGACGATGTCAGCGTTTAGAGGGGGCGCAGACGATGCGGACCGTCTGGAATATATGGATTTTTTGTATTTCGGTTTTATGGTGGTGGGTTCAGGTTCGGCCGATGGTTCTGAGGTGGGTTCGGGCTCCGACGACGGTTCTGGTTCAGGCTCGCTTTTAGGTTCGGGTTCGGGTTCACTTTTAGGCTCGGGTTCCGGTTCACTGGTGGGTTCGGGCTCACTTTTGGGTTCGGGTTCGGGTTCAGGTTTCCCTTCAACTGATTTAGTCGTTGGAGCACTGATCAGGGGGAAGTTTTTACAGGTTTTGGTTAAAGATCTGGGCCGCCAACCCAAGCCAACGTAACTAGTGCCATTGACGACCATTACGGCTTCGAGTTCTTTGTGTTCTTTGAGTATCCTCCAGTATAACCTGAAAGTGTCGCTTAGTTTGCGTTCGGTGTAGAGCTCGAAGTCGATTTCGGTGGTCTTCACTGGAGAACCTGTTAGAGGATTTGGGTTATTTCAAACGCTGGGTTGTTGTTACGTTACTAACGTTTGTTGCAGCCCGGTCCGAACCAACCCAGCTGACAGTAGCACTGCATTCTTGGTGACGTTGTCGCTTCAACATCTATGCATTTTCCATGGTTACCGCAGTCACTGTCCTCCAAACACTCGTCGCGATTTTCGCAGAAGGTACCATAATATAATCGATCGCATTTACATCTACCCACAAGGTACCTCCCGTGGCCACTGCACGACTCTCTGAATTCCTTTCCTGAGCATGCTTTCTTAGTAAAAACAATAGAAATGTTCGTGGCACTTACTTGTTTTGATATCCACGTCTGCACACGACCAGAATTTGTAATCTTTCCCCCATTCTAGCGCCTCACGGATCAGACGCAGCGTACAATTGGGACAGGTGAAGTCACTGGGTAACTGAACTTGGAAGGTTTGTGCTCTGGGTGTTTAAATAAAATTAGTACGGGAATTTCCGCCGAAGAATACTCACGTCGCGTCACTGGACACAAATTCCGACCCTTGAATCGTCGGAGTTAGATCCAAGACGGGTCTTTCGAGCTGGTCGAGCAGCTGGATTTTAAAACCACCCTAAAATTCATAACCGGTTAGTTTAGTGTCTCATTGTCGCTTTCTGTGGTTACCCTATGGGGATATCCCAAGTGCCACGAAACGTTGAACTTGCTTCCACTCAAAAAGGATGTTCTTACGTCGCCTGCAGCAAAAACACAAGTGTTAGAAAAAAATTATGAAAATTCGCTTTGGAGGTCACATCCAAGGCAAGTCGTTTCTGCGACAATACATTCTCATGGCAATCTGCTTATTGTATTGTTCAATGAAGCTGAATAGAAACCATCCACTCACAAGATTTGACTTTGTAATTCGTGGGATTAATAATGTATTAAATTCCTGTTGCAGAGTGTTGCGAAACGTTCGTGTTTGCTAATTTTAATGTAAAATCAGGATTCATTCGCAATATTCGATGAGTCTGAATCCTACGCAGATAGAGCGAACTCCTACTGAAGACAGAGGTCAGCATGCTATGCAGTAACCGTCCTTGAATCCCTCGGTGAATCATTAAAGTACCAACATTAGTTACGTGGGTGAAATGCATAATCGGAATTAATTATGTAAATCATGGTATAATTGCCCGATTATAAATGACATCGCATGAGATTCACATTTGTTTTTGTTTGTGGCTGAATGCTCGTTAATTGCAGCTTATTAGAAAGCTACCACACTCGAGCCAAAAAGTGGTTTGCATAACTATATTTGAAATTAGTACCCAAGGGAAAATTTAACAGAAGCATGTCCAGAGAAAGCAAAAGCCGCAATGACATTTGATTCGAATGTTCTACGTAACGCGACACATTTTCCGAACATGGAATTCCGTTTTTATAAATTGTTGGAATTGCTGAGAAATGTTATATTTTTTTAGTTTACCTTACGATAATGAGTAATGACAAAATATGTACACGGTTTCGGAATAGATTGGGCTTGTACCGGAGATATCGAATCGATCCCAGAATAGCTGAAGTTTAACCGGACACGACACATCATAGTTTATTCTTAGCTCAATTCTAACAGGAATTACAAGAATAACGGCTGTATTTCGTCTCAAATATTTATTATAGTTTTTTTTGCAAAATTAAGAGACTATTTTGTGTTAGACACCGTTTTTATTAAACTCTTGAAGTAAAAAATATCTCGAGAAAAAAAGTCGTCTAGCAATCACTGAAATTTAATGTTAAAAAAAAATATGTTGGCAACACCAACACGTCCCTTGTTGGGTTTGACAGATGTGGTCAAATAACTGTCAAATAAAGTGTCAATAGCTGCAATGCTAACATGATTATTTTAAAAATAAAGTCATGACCTACTAGACAGTAATTACATAAAACACAGACCTTACGGAAAACCCTATCTCTTTTATTATACATAGTGTTTTATTTATATTTCCTTATTAGAGCTAGATTCTAGTCCCCAATCTCAGGCTCAACGATTTAATTTAAAATTTCGCGCCAAATTGAGAATAAAAATCACCTGTTGTAATTGGATATTTTGTCAATTTTGTCAATTATTACATGGACTGACTGGTTTTCGAACTCTGACAATGCGTTTTGTGACACAAATAAATTGTTTTATTTTATCGTCGATGTTATCCTTGGGAAGTATCCATTAAAAAAGCAATACTTCACCCATTTTTATGACTATAATTTATATTTTATGACGAAAATAACCTAGTAGTTATTAACATTACTAAAATAACTTTTGCCAACTTTACCACTTCATAACCATGTGTCACGTTTGTACATTAGAGGCCATGGCCAACTTCATTTGTATAGTCCCCATAGCAATGTAGTACAGTTTAAATTAGAAGTTTTTTAAGTTTACAATTAGAAGAAAAAGGGTTTTTTGTGGTCTTGTCTGGGAGGTTTTAAGTGATTCTCTTCAAAATTTACAATATTTAATCAATTTTTTAGTATTGTTTATTCAAAAATTAAAAAACCACCACCTGTTGAATTAAGTTGGTACCAGATAAAACTTCTCTAGGGCTTATTTTTACCCTGGCAAGTTGGTAGTACACAAAACATCAAATTTGAAATTTTATGACAAAAATGTCAAAATCAAATAAATAAAAGCAACGTGTTTTGAATGAAAACAAGATTGAAAACCATGACCACCCTAACCTCAATTTTTTTGATAGTTTTTGGCATAAAAAATCTCCCTAGACAATGTTGTCAGTTGAGTTTTAGTGATATGTTGCCGATTTCAAAAAATTTTTGACTGACATTATTTAATCAAATATGTAATGAAAAATCCATTCAAGACCAACTATTATAGTCGTATTTTTTCCATTTTAAAGAGTTATGTGTCAGATCTGTCAGGAGATGGCGCTTAATTTTTTTTTCTTTGAATTCTACGCTCTAAATATTGTGGTAACCAGATTTGCATTAAAATTTCGCGCTGAAACAAAAAAAATGGCGGCCCGAAATCGCATTTGAATAATTTGAATTAAAAAAGTGCGGTAGAATTCGTAATATCGTGACTTGAGGGTCGGGGGGATTAAATTTTTCCCCTTAGCCAGTTATCATCGTTATCATCATCACACCACCGAGACATATTTTCTCGCGAGGTTGGAAATTACATTACCGAGAAGTATTTCTCGGGACGCTGAATGCATTTTGTGGTTATTTATCATTACTCATAAAGCTAATTGTTTCAAGTAACCAATCACTTGATAAAGTGTGGCATAATTTAACATCAGGTAAATTCTTTGTTTGAATCGTTCATAAAGTCTGGCATAATTTAACATCACGTAAATTCTTTGTTTGAATCATTGATAAAGTGGGGCAAATATTAAGCTCATGTAATTCTGTTAGCTTTGCAATTTTTCACCTCATGCAATTTTTCTCTATCTCACAATTTTAGCCTCGGTAATTTTCTTTGCTGTATAATTTAAACTGAACGTAAATTTTCATGGTCTGCAGTTCCTAACCTGTTTTATTTCGCACCAGGTGTTTTTTTTGTTTTTATAAATCTTTGCTAGTCTTGATCTCAGATAAGAATTCTTTGCTATTTAAATTTTCACGAGAGTGTATGGCGAATTTAAATGTTATTTATTGCTCTTTTTGAAACTGTAACACTTGTCCAGTTGTAGTTTAATATCAGAGTTGTAGAAAGTGAACATTTAAAATGGAATTAAGCTAAACAACACAGAAACACGTGGCAGCAGCGGAGGGCGCGGTTCCTAGTCGAGCTGGCGGGATTTATCGCACCATCTGCACAGGACGCAGACCTAGGATAGAAGTCAGGGGCGGTCGGGATGATGTGACGAGTTTGCCCGATAGAATAGAATCGCTGTCGTGGGGGGAGAACAGCCACAACCAGGAGCCCCAAACTCCGCTCGTGCTACAATGCCCCCGTGGGTAATTTTTGCTGTGCTCTAGAATGAAATTGGTATAGTTCGATCGCCATACTCTTCCATTTTCTTAGACCATCACAGCCAAGGCCAAATTTTTGAATTTCTCGCGGGCTTTCAAGTTTGGGTTATCACAATATCTTTAATTTTCTACGTTTTATTTAACGATGGCTGCTATGATATTTCAGATACCGGGTGACCATTAATGACTGAAACAAATTTTTGGGTTGGCAATGCTGAACTATTAGCAGCAACGTTAGCATGTCAGTTCACAGTTGTCAATTTTGATATGAGCGCGCCTAAACAATCAAATTTGAATTTGACTTCATAAAATGTTAAATATGTTGCCAACCTGACAAAAAAGCACAAAAATTAAAAGTCACTAGATATTTTTTTTTTCTATTATCAAGATTCCTTTGGATTTTGTTACAGAAAACGGTTTTACGACGTTGATATGGCAACTGGTTCCAACATATTTAGGTGGAATGAACGTGAGTAGTTTTAAAAATCAGGCAACTTTGAACTATTTTCGTTCCACATGGGTACCTTTCACAAACTATCGCAATTATCCACTATATGGAAGACAATTAAATACAACAGGAGTGTGTTTAAAACAATTAAGTAAATTCACCGCATAATTATTACATTTTTACTGAAAATATGATAAATAAGAGTATGTACGAGTATATATTATGTAGAAAGTGAAAACAAAAAATCTTAATACCCAAGGCTACGTTCTGTTAGTTATTGAAACAGAAGGAGAATGAAGTAGAATAATGGGTATTACAGCTATTTGACAGTAACTGTCAAACCAAATAAGGGACGTATTAGTGTTGCCAACATCACTCTTTTAAAAATAAATTCCATGGCCTACTAGAGGACCTAAAACTGTCCAACTGATTGTGTTGACGTAGTTTTAAGATTATTGTCGAAATGGTAAAACCCTAACCAAAACCTAAAAAACGATGACGTCATCTCAAGTTATTATTGATTGAATATTTGCTTTATAAAATTCGAAAAGCAATTAAATGCGTAGGACACAATTTTAAAACAAGAAATATATCAAAAAGATGCTCAACAACTTTCAAACCTGATGCGTAAATGGAAATTCAATTAAATCACTATGTATAAATAAATGTTGTTTATACTTTTTTAAAACTGTGTAAGTAGTTTTATACTAAACTAAATCATTCTGTCTTTAAAAATGGCACAACAATGGAATTTAAAGTAGTACATACATCTGCATAAGTTTTTTAGCGAGCTAGTTACAAAAAATATGCAAATAGCCTGATTTAAATAATTGTTTAATAAACATTTAATGTGGAATTCCTACTCAAATCACCATCCTTGGAGGTCAAATTTTAGCACTAAATAAGTTATTTAGAATTTTTGACGAATTTTTTGTCTCGAAGTAGATTTTTTGCGAACAAAAATTAAACACAACTGTCGAATAACACATTTTTTATTTGAAGCGATAAATATTGAAACAAAATAATAAATTTGTCAGAGTGTAAAATATCGCACATAAATTTTCAAACAAAGAGGTGTTCAGTTAATACATCAAAGTAAAGCACGCAAAACTAACTTTTTAGACGATTAAATCCACTAATTTCGTAAAATAGAGTTTGAAGGCTCCGTTACCTAACTCTTAATAACAATATTTATGCATAATTGTTAAACATTCCAAATTAATTTTGACGTAATCCAATTGGTTTATAATGGTTTAATGGTCGATGATTAATTCAATTCGACAAATACCCATTTATAGCGTTTTGCAAGTACCCATTGCTGGAACTAACTCTTGAATCTCAATATGTACACACCTGGTTTGAGCACGTTTCTTTTCCAGTGAAAATCATGTCAATGCCGTACGTAACGGTGTTTTTCATCGATAGAAATTTCTAATTCTCGTAACACTTCTTTCGACTTCATTTGATTACATGAAAATCCGCGATACGCAGCCTGAATACAGTACCTTTGGGCATTCCACAGGGTGCTTTGGTTCTCGAGCTGTCCAGAAAGTCAAGATCATACTTTCGCGCCGGCGGGAACGTCAGTGCCACGTGACCTTCAGCAGGAGGCGTCAGGAAGACGATACCAACAAGGACCACCACCGGCAAGGACCTCTTCGGTCTCATCTTCACTTTGCACTAGGACATGGAAGAATCATACCTTGACTGACACCTGAAAAAAGCGCATTGTAAACAGAGTGGAGGAGGCGGGACGTGGCGAACTCCTCGTGAATTACAAGAAGTAAATCCACGTTGGAGCTATTGGAATTCGATAAGAATAAAGCTGGGTGTGTTCGCGATTGGGCAACGAAGAATGGTCGACTTTTCTCGATTAATTGGCTCGGCCATCTGATGTAACAAGGTTGCTAACCTGACTTTTGACTTATTCATTCAGAGTTGGTGCGGATTGTGGCAACTGAAGAGACAATAGAAAATGCGTGATCGCCAGTTTTCCTTGTTTAGTAAACAAAATTAACGCGGAAGAGCGTCAAGGATTCATCGTCTTTCAAGAAGCTGTTCAACAGATGTCGACGTAAACTTGATTTTGATTTCATTGACTTCAACAATATATTCAGAACGGCGAATATTCTTGACGGTTTGTGCAAGATTTATACGGCGATTTCTTTGGAAATCCAAGGTGGTCAAAGAATTCGCAATACCTCTGCGAAATTCCTCAAACAAAAAGCATTGCTTATAGGCTTTACACGCTATCAGCTGAACGTGATCTGAACAATAGAATGGGGTTTTTGGTGTGAATGCAACGCAGATATTTGTGTTGTGAATGGTACCGATTGATGACGTGATGATTTCTTTGTTAAAAAAATATTTGCAGTGAGAAGTTGAAAGTGTATAGAAAAGATTAGTGTTTGTGAATTTTGCATCTAGTTCTATGGGATTCGCTTTCATGTTGATACTTTTTGATCATTTTTTAGTTTCTAAGCGATTACTGTTGGCAGTAGTGTTAAGGGGTCATTTCGAGGAATATTTAATTTCATGCTTTTTTGGATTTAATGACTTGCACAAGACGAAAATGTTGATTTCTAGTTTCCGGCTGTCTGATAAATAAGCTCTGAAACTAATGACACGATGACTTTGAAATTTTAAGTGAAGATGGTAAAAAATTAGAGAGAATTTGTCAATCCCTTAAAAAGTTGATGACATCGTTTGATCGGACCTTACGTGTTCTTGTTAAAAAATACTTTTTGCATTATTACGTTTTAAAGGAAATATTGTATAATCGAGTCCATCGGGCAACTATCTACTTTCATGATTTCTAGACGTTTTATGACCCCTACAGTACGAAACTGTCCCACCAACAATGGAATGACGTTATCTCCAACTTTTAGAATAGTAAATGTTATTTAATTTTATAAAATAACGTACTTCCACTTGTGGTTTAAGAATCTGTGTTGAGTCTCTCTAGTCATCCAAACTAAAAAAAAAATTCAAAATCGTAAAACAGTTTTTCGATTTTTCAGTTTTTCGATTCTTCAAATTACTCGATTTTTCAAATTTTCGATTTCTCGATTTTTTACTTTCTGTTTATATGCAGATATTTTCAATTTCTCAATTTTCAGAATTTCAGTTTTCCGGTATTTCAATTTTTCCTTCTTCGCTGTCTCGATTTTTCGACTTTCCGATTTTTTGATTTATTGATTTTCCCATTTATCGTCTCGATTTTTCGACTTCTCAATGTTTCGATTTGTCAACTTTTCCATTTTTCGATTTTTCAGTCGTATTTCAATTTTTGAATTTATTGATTTTTCAGTTTTAATTTTTCGATTTTAAATTTATGAGTTTTTCGATTTTTTGATGCTTCAATTTTCGAGTTTTCAATTTTTCGGTAATTTAATTTTTCGTTTTCTCGATTTTCCAGTTTTTTGGTTCTTCAATTTTTCGAATTTTTGAATTTTAGACTTTTCATTTATTTGATGTCTCGTACTTCTCATACTTTCGAATTTTTAAAATTCTTGATTTTTCGATTTTTCAATTTTCCGGCCGGTAAATTTTGCGATTTTTTAGTTTTACGACTTTCCAATTTTCCCGTTTTTCAATTTTTCGGTTTTTTAATTTCTTAATTCATCAATTTTTCGATTTCTGGATCTTTTCATATTTCGATTTCTCAATGTTTCAATTTTTCCATTATTATTTATTGTTTCGATTTTTTCTCGATTTTTCGCCTTTTCGATTTTTCTATTTTCTAATTTTTCAATGTTTCCAACTTTCAATTTTTGGATTTCCCCATTTTTCGACATTTCAATTTTGGGTTTTTTCAATTTCTCGATTTTTCAATTCTTCAATTTAAATTTCTCCATATTTCAAATTTTCGCTTTTTCGATTTTTTACTTTCTGTTTAATTTTCAATTTCTCAGTTTTCAGAATTTTAATTTTACGATATTTCATCTTTTCGTTTTTCGATTTTTAAACTTTTGAATTTTTTATTTTTCAACTTTTCAGTTCTTCGCTTTTTTGATGCTTTAATTTTCAATTTTTCTGATTTTAATTTTTTGTTTTCCCGATTTTCCAGTTTTCCAGTTCTTCAATTTTTTGAATTTTCAAATTTTAGAATTTTCAATTTTTTGACGTTTCTATTTCTCGATCTTTCGATTTTACGACTTCTCGGTTTTAGATTTTCCGGTTATTCAATTTTTCGATTTTTAAAATTCTTGATTTTTCGATTTTTCAATTTTCGGGTTTGTAAATTTTGAGATTTTTTAGTTTTTCGATTTTTCAGTTTTCCAGTTTCCTGAATTCTCGATTTATCCCAATTTCGGCGTAAAGATTATTCGATTGTTTAATTTCTGGATTTTTCAATTTTTCAGTTCCTCGATCTTTTCATATTTCGATTTCTCAATGTTTCAATTTTCCGATATTCAATGTTTCTATCTTTCGATTTCTCTATTTTTGACCTTTTGGATTTTTCGATTTCCCTATTTTTCGACACTTCAATTCTGGGATTTTTCGATTTCTCCATTTTTAAATTTTTCGATTTCTCAGCAACATCTCGGTTTTTCGATTTTTAAAATTTTTCTACTTTTCAATTATTCGTTCTTCGATTTTTCAATTTTTCGACTTTCCGACTTTTTGATTTATTGATTTTCCCATTCTCAATTTCTCGACTTTTAGATGTTTCGATTTCTTAACTTCCCCATTTTTCGATTTTTCAATTAATATTCAATTTTTGAATTATTTGATTTTTCAGTTTTTCGATTTATCAATTTAAAATTTTTCGGTTTATCGCTTTTTTGATGCTTCAATTTTCGATTCTTCAATTTTTCGATATTTTAATCTTTCGTTTTCTCGACTTTCCAGTTTTTCAGTTCTTCAATTTTTCGTATTTTTAAATTTTAGACTTTTCAATTTTTTGATGTTTCTATTTCTCGAATTTTACTGGTCAGTTTTAAAATTCTTGATTTTTCAATTTTTGCATTTTCCGGTTTGTAAATGTTGCATTTTTTTAGTTTTTCGATTTTTCCATTTTCGAATTTTTCAATGTTTCCATTTTTCAATTTTTCGATTTTAGATTTTTCAATTTTTTCATTTCTCGTTTTTTTTTTTGGATGTTTTAATTTTTCGATTTTTCAATTTTTGGATTTTTAAAATTTTACATTTTCCAATTTTTCAATTTTTCGATTTTACAATTTTTTGATGCTTCAATTTCCCGATTTTAAAATGCTTTAATATTTCAATTTTTCAATTTGTGTGACAGGAGGATGTCGTCACAGGCTCTGCCAGGGAAAGAACACGGCGTGGTGGTATCTATTTATTATATGATCTAAGGATTTCTGATCATCTCACTTTTTCGATTTTTAAAATTTTTTTGACTCTTCAATTTTTCGTTCTTGGATTTTTCAATTTTACGACTTTCCGATTTTTTGATTTATTGATTTTCTCATTTCTCGTTTCGATTTCTTGACTTTTCGATATTTCGAATTCTCGACTTGTCCATTTTTCGATTTTTCAGTTTTTCAACTTTTGAATTTTTCGATATTTCAGTTTTTTGATTTTTCAATTTTTCGATTTTTTAAATTTTAGATATTTCATTTTTTTGATGTTTCTATTCCTCAATCTTTCGATTTTAGCACTTCCCGATTTTAGATTTTTCGGTTATTCAATTTTTTGTTTTTTAAAATACTTGATTTTTCGATTTTTCCATTTTCTGGTTTGTAAATTTTGCGATTTTTTTAGTTTTTCAATTTTTCGACATTTCAATTTTGGGATTATTCAATTTCTGTTTTTCTATTTTTCGATTTTTCTATTTTTGGATTTTACAATTTTTTGATGTTTCGATTTCTCGATTTTAAAATGCTTTAATATTTAAATTTTTCGACTTTTTTCGATTTTGAAAATTTTTCGTTTTTTGATTTATTGATTTTTCATATTTCTCGATTTCTCGACTTCTCCATTTTTCGATTTTTCAGAATTTTTTGATTTTTCAGTTTTTCGATTTTTCAATTTTAAATTTTTCTGTTTTTCCCTTTTTTGAAGCTTCAATTTTTGATTCTTGAATTTTTCAATATTTTAATGTTTCGTTTTCTCGCTTTTCCAGTTTTTCAATTTTTCGAATGTTTAAATTTTAGATTTTTCAATTTCTCGATTTCTCGTTTCATTTTTGATTTTTCAGTTTTTCGAATTTTCAATTTTGTAAATTTTCCATTTTTCTATTTTACAATTCTTTGATATTTCGATTTTTCGATTTTAAAATGCTTTAAATATTTCAATTTTTCGATTTTTTCGATTTGTCAACATCTCGGTTTTTCGATTTCGGAAATTTTTTGAGTTTTCGATTTCTCAGTTTTTCAACATTTCAATTTTTCGAATGTTTAAATTTTAGACTTTCAATTTTTTGACGTTTTTATTTCTCAATCTTTCGACTTTACGACTTCTCAGTTTTAGATTTTTCGGTTGTTCAATTTTTCGATTTTTAAAATGCTTGATTTTTGGATTTTTCAATTTTCCGGTTTGTAAATTTTGCAATTTTATAGTTTTTCGATTTTTTCAATTCTTCGATTTCCCTATTTTTCGACATTTAAGTTTTGGGATTTTTCAATTTTTCGATTCAATTTTTCAATTTTTCGATTTTTTAAATTTTAGATTTTTCAATTTCTCGATTTCTCGTTTTATTTTTGATTTCTCAGTTTTTCGATTTTTCAATTTTTTAAATTTTACATT